ATATGGCTGAAAGAATACTGAATGGTATATGGAGAGGTGTTTATCATGGACAGATCGAGAGGGGCTAGGGATAAACCCACCTTTTTTTTAGCGATTCTATTCAGCATTTTTTAAATTCTGTTTTTGAGTGCCAGGATAAATATTTGATCTTAGTGTGGAATGAACTTTTAATTCAGCAAATCTATTTTAGACCTTCGCCTCTCATTTCCGACTTCTTACACTTTTAATACCGAAATTTAAACACTTGATATCATGAAACCCATGAATGAATTTTCAACTTAGTACGTGATAACAAAAATTTACTTGGTAGTCCACAATTCAAAGACTAATAGGTATTCGTGTGCAGTATCATTACATTAAAAAAAAAAAATAATACTCGCCAAAACGTCAAGAGAAAGTAGAGGCATAAAAGTTTAACTCCTCAACTCCTCATTTAAGCCATTGTCAAGCATTGCATATACATAAAACGTACAATTTCATGCCTAAAATGTTTCTTTTGCGAGCGGACGTTGATAGTGACTTTGTTTTCAAGAACAAAGCTCAACAGAAGGCGAACGGTCGCGTGCAGTTGCCCGCGTATGTACGAGTCTGTTGACCTATAATTCAGTTGGGCTTCGAAAACAAACTTCTTTACGCAAAATTAAATCAATTATACATCATTCATTATTCACTTCTGTGAAGTTTAATTGTTAGCCTCTTTTTTCCTTTGTCAGACCGGGTTTTCATCAGGCACCCTTGATGCACATATAATGGGGATGGACTGTTATTTTCAAACCATAAACTCGATACTAACAAACAAAAAAACAGCTCGTAACTCATCGGTTACTTCGCTTAGCATGCTTTAGTTTTTTATTAAAGGTAAGGGGGTCTAAAGCCCTATACAGCCTACATTTCCCAACGCCTCTGTAAATTTTTGTATTCAAGTAAAGTTGATATAGAGGGATTGGCCCTTACCCGAGGCCGTACTTCTTGTCAGGGGAACAGCTGGAAAAGAACACGAAATATTTAAGCATTAATTCACGTGTTGCAAAAAGTAGCAAAAGAAATAAAGCATAAAATTAAAATATAAAATAATGTGCAAACTTTTGGACAAAATATGACTCAAGTAAGATTGAATTTCGACTAACAATTTATTTATTGTCCCTTACCTGTGGTTGTAACGTTTGTACAGGGAAAAGCTGGAAAAGAGCAAGTAGTCATTGGGATGTATATGAGTCACTTGCATGGTAAAAGGGAAACAAAATATTCAACTACGAGATCAGAATTTCTCGAAATAATAGTAACTTCGGGATAAAGCAAACAGTGATGGTTAAGGTACATCTATCTTAGAAAGAGAACAGAATTAATGAGATTGTCTTACACCTTTACGGTACTCTTTGTTAATGGTGCTGATGCAAAAAGTAATCAGTTTACAGGCATCTTAACAAGTGTTGTCGTGTTAAAGAGAAAGTAACATGCAGGAGTAATAGTGACATATTGGTGAAATACCAGAATTTCTCTTGTGATTACAAGATATCTTCACATTGTCGTCATCGTAACCATCGTGATCACTTTTGACCACGAGTCACTTTCTCTCGATTTGAGGACATTCACAAGTTTGAATTGGCGGAAAACGCTCATCGCACAAGAGCCCGTCTCATTTTTTATGTCAGAGGTTGAAGAAGATTT